CCCTTTCCCCCCCCCCCCCTTCTGTTCCTTTTTCTACCACCTCTTCTAGCCTCCTCACCGGCTGCTCGTCCTCCCGTGGCCACGATCCATCCTCTCGTATACTCATCCGCGGAATCGTGAATCCATTGGAAGGACAGACACGAGCTTACACTTCTTCGTCGTCCCTTATCTACCTTCGTAAAAGAGTCCCTTCGAGGTTGGGAGGCGCGAGTGAACTCAATTATGTTCCATGGGGTGAAAACTGACGGCAAGCTTTTTTGCCTAGAACCTTTATTACGTAGGTAATTAAGAAGCCTGACTTTTGGTGACTCGAAGATGGTAGTTACGTTTTATCTGAGAGGTGAGAAATTTAGGGTGGTTTTACGAAGGGATGTTGAATTTTCTAGGTATTTGTCGTATAGTATGACAACAATAATGTAATGTTTATTGCAGTTTCAGGTTGCACGGGAGTCAAAGAACGGACTTGGTTTAGTAAGAACAGCTTACGATTAGTCTTCTCTCCACGTCGCAATCTTACCGCGTTCTGTAATACTTGTTGTATGTATAGATGGACTGCAGTTTTTTTTACGAGAATTTGTATTTTTGTAAATACTTAGTTACGTAAATGGGAATTGAAGCAGAAAATTATTTCATTCATTGAATTAGTATTCATAGTGTCTAATTCTATAGTTGGAAAGCATTGTCCTTTTTGCGTTCAGTGAGTAATTTTAGTTATATCGTAGTTAGTTAGGATTAATGTTTATATTTTGATATATCTATGGTAATAAAATTTTGTTATCAGATTAGTTAATTGGTACGTAGAATTGTTGTAAGAGAATATGTTGACGGTGGAGCAGGAAGTTAGAAAGTTGTTAGTTTCCGTAAATTCAAGAGACATTATTTGTTCTTAACAGTAGTCAGACTAGCAAGAAGTGTTTTACGGTCATTGAAGAGGCAAAACGATAGATTGCTTCGTCGTTTCTCATCGTTTTCAGACAGCATTAAGTTATATCGTGTAGTAGAACTCTTGTCTGATATAGTATTTATAAATATTGAAATCATGAAATATAATAACAGTCGCATATAAACAGTCGTAACATCTTTTTTGCGTTTCTTCCTTAATAGCAACCTTAGTTTCCTTTATTATATTGTACTAATTCAATACTTATCCTTCATTATCGGTGTGTCTTATGATCTTCTATTAAAGCTATTTTACAATACCAATAAAACATCGATATTCAACGTCATGAAAACACAATTTAGATACGGAAGTCTCGAGCAAGACTTATATTAACCCTTTGCACTAGGAAGACTCCAACTACGGCACTGTGTATGTAAACATATGTTCAGAATAGGTAAGTATTGCTTTAAGGTGATGGTATCCAATGATACGCGATAAATATATACGAAGGGCAAAGAATTATATTTTCGTTAGATGGGGAAAAATATTTTTCCATTCGCTTCTCGATGCATTTTGCATCTTGAAAAAGAAAATCGAGGGCCATAATCATTTCTCTGTTTTTCACACGCTTTCGAAGTCTTATCGATATTCTTCATCGTTTTGGAACATAACAGGGACTTAGAATCCCTCGGTCATTCCTCAATCACTAATTTACTAAACAGTCACAACATCAATAATCTCTTAATATATACAATTATACATATACATGATGTTGTATATACATATATACAACATCAATATATCTTAATATTTTTGTAATCAATAAAAAAGAAAACAATTTATTTGTAGTCTTCGGTTAAACTTTTAAGCAATTTTTATGTTTTTTCGACCTTACCCATCACTAGTTTCTACACCGCCCCTCTTGTCGTATATACGCACGTTTCTCCCACCAAGAGCAGTGGAGAAGAAATGTGTGTATAGTTCGGCCGTTGCTCTTATTCTTAGTGCACATTTTTTGGCTGACTTTTTAACATTGCATGAATTGCATTGGTGATCTCCCGACTCATCTCTGTTGCTACATGCGTAAGTACAACATGTGTACATGTATACATTCAAAGAAAATTGTTTGTCATTTGAATGAAAAAAGAAAATTTTCCTTTTATAATAAATTCTTTCGTAGAATGAGAATAGATATTTCCGTAAGAGAGTATTAATCCAATCTGTCTTATGTAAGTTACTGACTTTTAATACTGATTTCTAATGTATATATATTCTTAAGTTTTAACTAGATGAATTTCCACTAACTACATATATAGTTGATTATATTTATATAATACATTTGCTATATTTTGTTACTTACCAATCAGGGTTTTGAATATTTCTATTGCTATTTTGTTTCTTGAAAGTAAAATATAAGATTAAATTTATATACATAAATGTGTTTGTAAAAATAAAATCTACATTATATATTGTATTAACTTCCCAACTGTTTATTTCTGACTGTCAGTTTTGACTTGAATCAAGCATAAGTTCATTTACATAGCAGTTGTTTCTTAATTATAGTAAAAATTTTTATTTTTTCCTTTTATTATTTCAATTAAGTGTGTACAAGATGTAATAAAATATATTTTTACATATTCTTATATAGAGGTTATGTAGATAAATTTGTATTAGTTATTATATGTATATAATTTTTATTTATAAACATAAAGTACTAAGTTTTATATTTCTATCACTTTTAGTACAGACCTACACTTATATTGTAATGTTTTTATCATGAAGAACTTTTATTAGTATGTACTTAATGTTTATGAGATATTATAATTTAAATATTCTTTCTTTTATCTAGAAAAAGTTCGTCGATCAAGTTTCTGGTATTGATAATTAAACAACAAATTCTCATTAATGTCGCCCATATTCCCTAAAGATGCGTCTTCAACTGAAATGTTTTTTCGAACTGTAAATGGAAGTAAATTAAAGCTCATTGATAAAAGTACAAAGGCTAGAAATGTTATGAAATTTGTTTTATATAGGAACATACAGTTGAATGTGAATAAAACTCTCCTTTTGTTATTTGTAACAGTAGTTTTATGGAAGGCATTTAATATCTTCATACCCTTTCTTGCATGTGCATTAGTATTGATACTACAACTCATCTGTTTTGTTGCTTCTGTAAATAAAGGTCTGTTAACTAATTATAATTACTATAATCTCTTTATTTTCATTATGTTAATTTCAATATTTTATTTACAGATACACTAACAGTGGTAGAATTTGTTGGTATATATACTGAAGGAAAAAGAATATTTCATGGTTCTAGTTCATGTGAATTTATTCCGTGGGATATAGTGGTGGATATATTTATTAATGAAGTTATAACAGGAGTTGGTATTAAAAATTCATAATGTGATATAGTAAAATAATTTATAAAAATATGTGTTATTTAAATAAATGAATATATGTTGTTTCAGCAAAAAGTATTGTATTACCTTACAATTATAATAAGAGATTCACTTGGAGGAAAAGATTCAATAAAATTAGTTCCCTTATTTCAAAATTTAATACCTGAAAGAAAATGCCTGGAATATATCTACGAAAAACTAGCTGGATTGATTGGACCCAAAAAGAGAAAAATCTAACTTTAACAGTGCCTGGCTCATACTGGTTGTGTCATAAGACCAACATATACAAATTTATTTTTAGGTATCACCGCACAAATAGGTAAATATTGCTAATAGTAAAGCATTAGTAAGAAAATAGATTTCTAATTTGTACATTTGCAGAAATATAAAACAATTTAATTATGGAAAAGAATTAATGAAAGTTATTAGAAAGATTATCAAAAATCCACCTTCCCAGAAACAACAATTTGGTACAAGTCATCTTTTAGTTACTTTCGGTATCCTTTTCTCTATGTGCAAAATAAATATAATTTTTAACTTGTTAATAATATTAAATTTTTTGAACTTATTATTAAAATTTTCTTAACTATAATTCATAATACGTAGAACATACACCATGGACTAGACAAGATAAAATGTTTGCATTAATGAAGTTTAGAGAACGATCGGTTGTAGCATTTTCTTGTGCATTTATATTAACTATAACACCCATTGATTCTTTAAGAATAGAACAGAATTCAGAAAATATAATTTCTTCTGATCGTTCTTTAATCTATCAGAATGAAAGTTCAACTGATACATATGAACGTGAAAATAAAAATGAGAAAGAAAGTAAAAAATGTTTAAAGCATTCCTCTAAAGATGATTCTTCAAAGACAGACGCGCAATGTAATAATATGCAAGAAATTTTAAGATGTGAAAGTAAAAACATTCAAGCAAATAATAATATAGGAAATACTAATTTAAAAAAGTTATTATTAAATGAAGAAACAGTAAAACAAACAGGTAACAGTGAAGATACAAATAAATTCTGTAAACATTTAAATATGTCACCTAAACATAGTATAAAACTAAATGATAAAATGAACGAAAGTAATGTTAACTGTTTAGAAGATAGTAATATTAAACATCAATTATCGGATGATAAGATAAAAATCAATAACTGTAATATTGGAAAAGACAAAAATAATTCTGTATCAAATAATAGTAAAATGTTAAATAATAGTAGCGTTGTTGATGATATAAATACAGATTCTGTTAATTTGCCATATCAGTACTTGATAGAAAAAGAAATAGAAGCTACAAAGCAGAATATGTTAGAATTAAATGCAAAAGATATTACAAACCATATAGAAGCACATTCAGATATTACCAAAATACAAGATTTATCTTGTCCTAAGAAAAAGAGCTATGTATTAGATAATGTACCACGATCCTCTGATATTACAGATTTAGTAATGGAAGGATTAATGTTTACAATTCGTCAGGACCAAGATACTGTAGCAGTTATAGAACAAAAAACTAAGTTGGAGATTGATGAAGTATTGGAAAATTCTGAAAAAATTGAGACAAAGGAAGGTGAAAAGTGTTTACGAAATTCTAGTTTACTTGGCTTGGAAAACTTAATAACAATGCTTGAATTACCAAAAGGGAATGAACCTGGAGATAAATATCAAAATATAGTTAGTCAGAAACCTACTTTGAGGAATCAGTCTATGAGAAAACACTTATTTAACAATGTAAAATATCCTTTAACAAATAATAAAATTAAAGAACAAAATAGTACAATTGAGTTAAAACACATGCAATGGTATCCTTTTAATAATTCTATTTCAGCTAGTACTAGTTATTCAAATAATGATAACATAGATATTACAAATAAACGTCGCTATTCCGAAATATATGATAATTCTAAAGATGAAGAGGATGCGAAATTTATAAAATATAAAAATTTGAAGTATGAAGAAGAAGAAGAAGATATAATACCAGAAGCATTACAAAATGAAACATGTAAATTATCTACATTATCTCTTAAAGCAGATAAGTCTGAAGATAAATTAAACTTTATACCAAATAAAGATTTATTAATGAATGACGTTAATAATGAAGAGTCAATCAAATATGAAATAGATAAGGATGAACTCAAATCTTCTTTTAATAATAACTTACATCCTAAAAAATACACAAAAAGTGATTGTCCAAATTCAGTATCTATTGACTCTCAAATAAATAAAGCACAAAAATTGCATAATAATGCAGTATGTGAATCTAAATTTCATGATACAAACAAGTATAAATCAAATGTTCCAGTAATTATCTCAAATCAAATTATTAGTCTAAATGAAATACCTTTGCCCTTACAAAAAATACTTAAAAATAAATTATCAATAAAACATAATTCCTTAAATGATAAAACTAAAATAAACAAAGATAATATTGAGATTCACGAGACACAACCAAGTCAAAATGCAGGTAGTATTTCCAGCATACAATTAAAAAATCAAATTTTAAATAGTCATACAGAGACATCATCAAAAGATCATGAAAAATTTGTGCAAGATAATAGAAAAACATATAATGAAAGCATATCATCCTCAATATTAAAAACGGAAGAAAAATGTTCCAACAGTTCCAAGAACATCATGGAGTTAAACGAAGAGAAATCACAAAACCAGAATAATTATATTGACAAAACAAGATTGTCATCAAATAAAATAAAAGATGTTACACAAGAATTTTATAAACAGTTTTCACATTTGCAGAAAGAAAAAGCTCTAACAAATCAAAAACGCCTTAGATCAAGCAGAAAATCGTTGAATTATGCTAACAATGGTGAAATGCATATACAAATGGCCAAATTTTTTCAAGATATTACAAGAGGAGCCAAGGTTGTTGTAACACGTATAAGTGTAAATAAATATTCATAGTTTAATAATAAAAAATTTATCTTCAACAGTAGAAATATGTCAAATTTTCATATTTATCAACAAGTTAATTTATAGATTTAGTACTGTTATATTTAGAACATAAAACTTTCATATTTATCTATCACTTAATTTATGCATTTAGTAGTAATAAATATAGTATTTTTTGTACATGTGTTTTATTCAATGATTAAATTTCAAATAAATATATATAACACTATCTGAATGATTTATTGAATGATTTATTTTAGCTTTCCAGTAACTTGTTGACCCAACATGTCTTTTCTCGTTCAATTTGATCCATGACAGCTTTTAAATTATTCAACTTGTTTACGACATCTTGTAATTTAAAATCTAATTGGTCAAAGCACATTTCATTTTTATTAAAATCAAGATTCAGACATTTATTTTGACTCAAAATAAATGGTTCATTTACTGCAGTTGATTTTTTAAACACCTTCAGCATCTGCAAAATATAATATGTTTATAATTGCAATCATTTTTTTAAGTTTTAAAGCATATAAAACTTGTCATTATTTCAAGTAAAAAAAATAAATATAACAAATAAATTCATTACATAGATATATTTAAGAAACAGAATCCATTATAAATATTTATTACATTTATCTCATTTTTTAATTTGATAGATTTTTGAAGTTCGTCGGCACATCGTAATGGATACCGTTCTCGAGCATCACATAATTCAAAAAGTGCATCTTCGCACTGTTCTTCGACGTTGTCTAAAAGATAAAGATAAGGAGATAAACAATTCTTACTTGTTTTAACCTTGTTCAAGTTCCTTGCACTTACCCATCATTGATAACGTTTAGACTATAGTATCTCAATTAAAAGTGATATTATTTTGTATTAACAGAGAGAAAATTTCCTCTCTAGTATTAATTTGAAAATAAAAATGAGCGATAATAAACGAACTTGCTTGTATTAACATCTTCAGCGCCATCAGGTAGCAAATAATATTACAAGAAATTTAAACGGAAATGTTTAAATCAATTTATTCCGTTCTCAATTTATAACTTTTTTTACATAATAATAGTTTTATTTATATGATACTTTTTAATATATAAAAGATCGCCTGAATGAAATACTTATACTTGATCTAATGTTCTTGTTTCCTTTCTTTTAAAATGACATCAATCTTGTTTTAATCTAACCTAGATAAACATTTATTTAATATCACTTTAACATATATAATAATTTTAATGAATTATCATAAGTATTATATGTTAGAGAAATTCATTGTACCATAAGAAAGATAGAAACATCTCCATTTAGATGTGAATAAAAATGCTACTGTTTGTTGTAAAAGAGTCAAATAGTATATACTTTTCTTAATATATAATAGTTATTGATACAATATTATCAATGATATAAATATAATTCATTCGAATAATTAATAATTAAAATTGTAGTTAACGTGTCATTCGAAAGTTAAAATTAGTTCAAAAGAAAATATTCAAATCAAAGGTTAACCATTTAATCAATTGATGATAAGTAAGAGATATAAATAACTATTTAAAATTTTGCTGAGTTGTCAGTATAAATAAAATCTTCTGGTCAACGGAAATTGTTAATATCACCACCTTCCGTCCGCGTGGCATTTATTTGATCTAACTTTTGCTGACATTGGCAAAAATACATAATTTGGGGTACACACCGCCATTAAAATTGTGAATGCCGTTATTTGCAGTGGCAAGAAACACGTAAAACGTAAAAGTAGTAACTCTTTTTTCTCAGTGCAATAGGTATTAGGATGAAGAAACATTAAAAGAGCCTCTTAGTGTTTTTAAAGTTGCTCGTAAAATATACCATATCTTTAAAATATTCATAGCCGATTGTTTAAATAATGGGGTACATAAAGTCAATTGGTACCGTAATAATATATGTCAGTTTCTTCTTAGCTGTTATTACCTTTTTACCAGGTTTACCCCCAGATGCAGAATATTCCGAATATAGGTATGGTATTTATTTTATAATAATATAATTGTCAAATAAGTAAAACAATTAATTATGATTTTTTACTATAAATATTTCAGTATGAAACTTCCTTGGGATTTACAAACACTGAAATCTGTAACAAAGATTCGACTACAAGGTCCTGAAATATTATTCTCTGGAGAAATCAAAGGTCCAGAAGCTTTTGCATCGTTTAATGGAGAAATATATACTGGTATACGTGGAGGTTATGTTGTACAAATTGAAGAAAATCGAATTAAACCTATTGTAAAGTTTGGACAAAAGTGTGGTATGTTGTAATAATTATTAGAAAATATTTATATTAATTCATTTACATTAAATATTTATTATTATTATTATTCTTTTTTTGGAATTCTACATATTGCATTCACAAAGATAACAAATTTAATAGTTTAAATACAAACATGCTCAGATAATAAAGCTAGATTTTGTTTAAAAAGATTAACAAAATTACTGAAATGTTTAAGCAAATGCATATCTTGAATAAAAGTGGTACTTACAGATGGGTTGTGGCAAGAACAAAAATGTGGTAGACCTTTGGGTCTAAAATTTAATGATAAGGGGGAACTGTTTGTTGCTGATAGTTACTATGGTATTTTCAAAGTAAATGTTAATACACGACAGTATATAAATATAATCAACAGTTCTGAACCTATTGATGGAAAGATTCCAAGAATGGTTAATTCATTAGATATTGCAAAGAATGGAGATATTTATTGGACAGATTCATCTGTAGATTTTCCACTTCATGATTCAACCTATACATTCTTAGCTAATCCATCAGGAAGGTAAGTTTCAAATTTAGTTAGTATAGTTTAGTTTGGTATTTAATAAGTATAATATTTATATTTATATGTAAATACTTCTTTACAGGCTTATTCGATATAATGCAGCAACAAAAAAAAATGAAGTATTAGTAAAAAATATAGGATTTGCAAATGGTGTTTTATTAAGTGATGATGAAAGCTTTCTGATTGTACTAAGTACTCTTAACTCATACATTATCAAATATAATATAAAAGGTTCAAAAGCTGGACAAAAAGAAATCTTTGCAGAAGGTTTACCTGGTCTACCTGATAATGTACATAGTGATGGGCAAGGAGGCTTTCTAGTAACTTTAATTTTCACTGTAGATTCTGAACATCCTCTTTTAGCTCAATCTCTGATACCACATCCACATATAAGGAAAATGTTATCAAGATTACTTTATTTAATAGAAGCTCCATTTAAATTATTGCAAGATATTTATCCAAATTACTATTCAGAAAGAGTTTTACATACAGTAGGTTCATTTGATCTTTCAAAAAATGCAGCATTAAAGAGTGATTCAATAATACTTAGGATGGATAAAACAGGAAAACTTTTGAATGTTTTATACTCAGAAGATATTACTGAAATTTCTAGTGCTTATATACATAATGGATATTTATGGTTTGGTTCTCCTTGGAATGAATATATTATGAGGGTCCCATTGAAGCAAGCATTTCTAGATTTAGCACTTAATACTAAACATTCAGCTAAGAAGGAACAAAAACAGGAAGAACCGCTTTTAACAGTTTCAGCTACACCAAATATTAAAGTAGAAGCAAAATCGACAAAATCAACTGTTAAACAAGAAGCAACTACAAAACTACCTCCGAAATCAACAGTTAAGGCACAAACAACACAAAAACCAAATTCAGATGCAACAAGACCAAAGGAGACCATACAGAAGTCTACAACGTCACAACCTACTACCACCAGTACCACTACCACTCCAAAACCAACAACATCATCACCTAAAGCATCTGGAAAAGATTCAAAGGAAATTAAGAAAGATAAATCCAATTCACAAGTCAAACCTGAATCGTCACAACAAAGCAATGAAGCAAGAATAAAAACAAAATCTGTAGATTCTGTCAAAAAAAATGATCATGAAACTCAGACTGCAAAATCCAAACCTATGAAAAAAAATGAAGATTCTACTAAAAAATAGACCAATGTGTACAAGTTGAAAACATCAGTCCAAATTTAAATTAATACTCATTGTATTATTCTATTCCATGTTAAAAGTTCTACATATTCCAAACATATCGATTTATTTGTTAGGTTTTATGAAATGATAACGTACATATTTCATACACATTTCATTCCTTACCGGTGTAGGATTTAGTTTTTACTTATACTTTCTAAACAACGTTCCAAAAAAGGTGATATTTAAAGAATTCTTTTATTTTATTATATATTAGTTTTCATATGTCAAATCTGTATATAAGATTGAGAATGGTGTTGTTTCTGTAAAACATTCCATATTATGATATATATACTAATATAATATTTAATACAAACACATACATATATACTGATATATGTATATGCGTGTGTAAGTATGCATTTTGTAAGTTCTAATTTTATTTAACTGCATAATGAAGATGAGGTCCAAATAAAAAGAAAAGAGAATCCATTTTGTTATGGGCGGTTATATTGTTTTGATATGAATTAACATTCCAGAACAAATTGTATAATAAAACTATTAAAATAATTGTTCTATAAATAAAATAATTTATATTAGAGATCACATTTGCTTATAAATTACACATTTAATTCAAATGTTTTCTGTGATTATAAAGATACCATGTGTGAATCTTCCATTAAATTTTTAATTTCTATTTTTGTATGTAATCTAGGATATTTTTCTACTTCGAGTATAATACATATTATACACAATATATGTATGAAAATAACAATAATGCATTACTCTTTGATGCAAAATGTTTGCAGATATATTTGTCTTTAACTGGGTATTATATATGCAGATTAATTTTGAACATGAATGGTGTTAAACAATGTTCTTAATTTTATATAGAATTTGGTAAGGTTGTATAACTGATATAAAAATAAATGTTTGCTTTTTTAAATATTGTTTTTTACTTCTATGATTTTGGTTATTGCTCCTGCAGAAACAAGCTTAAAATTTTAAACCTTTAAGTACATGTTTAAAACTGCTATATGTTTACTATTACTATAAATATTTTTAATATACTACAAAAAGGTATATAAGCTTTTTTTAAATTAAGATTTATAAAATTAGAAGAATTAAGAACCTGAAGTTAAATATTAAGTTGTTGTGCTATAAATGTAGGCAGTATTGATTTCAACTTATTATTTAAATTCTGTTGGATTCGCCATAAAATCGTAGGATTTTTAACAAAATGCCAGTGTCCATTTCTTTTATTTTGTGCCCATTTTTGTGCTTTCAATAAACACTTATGATAGCTTACGATGTCTTTATCTTGTATCAATGTCTTTGGAGAATCTTTTGCTACTATAGCAAAACCAAGTTTTGCTAATTCTTCACCAATTTTTATTTGTTTCTATAAAATTTAATATTGTGAATTGGTGCACTGAAAAAAAGAGCAAGCTTAACAATTCCTATTTACCTCATTTCGCTCTATAGATACTATACAAGTTACATAGTCCTTTTCTGTGGCTAAAGGAATAAAAGTTATTTCTTTTCCACTAACAATTGTTTGCAACCAACTAATACCTAAAAGCATGTTTTTTATTTTATTAGAGTAATAAATTTTCAAATGTTTAATTCATCATTACCTACCATTAGCTGTTACATCAAGACCAGCTACTTTAATTGGTAAATATGTTGGACTACTTAGTCGAGGCAAAGATATTAATGGTTTGTGATCAACCATTAAAAGTGTTCCATAATTTGGTTCTATATGTATCACAGTACCCTGAAGTTGAACTTTTTTTTGTAAAAAGTGAGATGGTATGCTGGATGGTTTTCTAAATTTGGCAAACTAAAAATACGACAATAAAAGATACAAAACGTAAAAATAAATGAAACATTATTAATATTTATTATACATACAGGTCTAATTCGATAGAGTGCAATCACTAAGCTTATACTAGCAATTCCATAACTGAATATCTGAAATTAAAAATTAATTAATATAATTATATTATATACATAAAAATAATGTTTGTGTGTAAAATAAAATGTAGGTTAGAACATACCTTCAACGTTTTGGTGTCTGTTTCGCTAAAAATGATAAATCTTTCGAAAATATTTGACTTTTTCTCTGACATTATTACTTTTATTTTTTCTTTAAAGGCTGTATGGTACCTGAAATACGTCTATATGAAAATACTTTATCGCGTATATATTTAACGAAATATTTAATCATCAGTTATTTTTACATAAATTCTTCGATTATGAAAAGCTTAAAATAGCGAATGTTCGTACATTTCTCATATGAAAATGTTTAATTTCTCAGATACATATATAAAATTTTAAATTAACATAAAAGATACAAACATTTATTTATTATTTAGTTCCATTAAGATCAATATTTCTATGAGAAATATATTATTAATAATTCATATTATACCAAGTAATAATATTGAATTTAGATCTAATCTAATGCATAAAATAACGCATTAAATAATTTATGTATATATCAAAGTTAAATTTCAATGAAGTGATATCATTTCTTTATGAAATAAAAATTATTTTAAATAAATGATACAATATAGTTTTATCAATTTTTCATATATAAATTTTGTATACTGTATAAGAATTTATGGATTCTGTTAATAATTATAAGAGAAATTTTTCTTCTGTTTACACAATATCTTAGTTAACTTTCATGTTCACATATCTGACATGTGTGAGTCGGTGCATTACGTTGACATAATGCTGGAGCCAAGGTGACAAGCGGCGATATTAAAAAGATCATCGATAGAACTTCTTGAACAAATTGAAAACAAAAAGCCCGTGAAACAATAAGAGCAAGTAACTCACGAAATAATAATCAAATTATTAATAATTTACAATATATTTTAAAAATGTTTCGTGATGGTCAATATTTGGAAGTAATTAAGGTATCTCATTTAACAGCTGCTAACAGCTGTCAATAGACGATCTTGCATCTGCACAAGTAAAACAGAAGCTGTGTTCGTAGGCTTCGAATGATTGTTTAGTTACGGCTGTTGTTACTGTTCAAGAGAAGACTATCAAAATTAAAGAGAAAAAGGTTTCAACTAATAAATGGCTTGATCTCGAGGATTGGGTGGCACTGTATAAAATTTTGGAGAAAGCAATTTTGCGCAATGTTCAAACAGAAGGATCGCCTCAGAATTTTAAGAAATGCAAATGTAAAAAATCTACTCGACAATTGGAAATCACGTAAGCAAAATCATTTTATGTTCGATATTAATTTCTTAATTTTACTTAAGTTATGCTATTTTTCATATATATTTATTTATATAAAATATAAATAAAGTAATTTATATAAAAATTATATTAATTTTTAATATTACATATAAAAATATTGCCTTTAACCTATTACATTACAATTTAAAAAATATATACATCAATGGTTACATCATGATATATAATTATTGTTAGTTATTTACATAGATATTTTTACAAACTATAGATATACATTTGAACCATCAGAAAGTATAAAAGATGTTACATCGTTACCTACTATTAGAGTAAATGTTTCCCCAGCAAAGAAGAAATTAGAAAAGTCGGAATTACCCAAAGTAACAATAGAGAAAAAAGATATTTTGAATCAAATAACAGAAAAGCCAGTCAGGAAGACTTCCAACCATATACATCAAAAAGATAGTAAGAATACTTTACTCACAAAATCAGGAAACAATGATTTAGTAGCGAAGGAATCGATTAACACAAAAAACGATAGAGTTAAAAGATGTCTACCAGTTGACAATCTGGGAAATGATATCTTAGAGGAGTATGTACCAAACGCACCTGTGACGAAAAAGTTATGCACGAACTTGAACTATATACCAAGTAGAAAGAGTACATTGGAACAAATCCAAGTATTTTCAAATGAATATTCTCCTGTAGTATCGGAGAATAAGAGCGTAGCAGACGTAGTTCGATATGTACCAAATTCCATGGATTTATCAAAAGTATCTTATGAAACGTATGAACCTAGTGGTGCAACCATTCTAAAACATCCTGAAGAATACATTCCCAATTCAAAGGGAATTAAAGCATCTATTGAGGAATATTATCCAGATTTTACTAGTAAGACGATGAAATTTGATGATAGTTATGTGCCGTCAAGTGTTCAACTAACTAACGAAAATTCGAAAAAGTTACTAGAAAGGCACAAAAAATTACAATCAGAAAAACACACGTTAAGATAAAAATATTAACAAAGTGAAATATGAATCTATTTATCTAAAACATTTTTAAAGCGAACATAAAATACATAAAATATATGAAAATCAGAATATGATATTTATAATAAATATAAATATTCTTTAATCTTACTATAACTTTCGACATCATGTCAATGTAATAATAATATATAATTTTAATAAAAAAAGAGTATTTTTAGTAAAAATATTTGTTTATTATTACTTAGTGCTCATTTATAGATGTATGAGCTTGTCTCTAACGATCACTGCCTTCATTTTCCGAAGTTAGGTCCTCAACTAAATTTTTAATTAATTCAAATTTTGGTTCTTTATTCTCTTCTTTTTTGATATTTTCCTGCTCATCCTCCATTTGATTAATTTCTTCATCATCCGTATCATCATCTGCTCCAGGATGGGCAGGAACTTTGTAAGATGGACTGTTAGGTGTTTGCATCATACCTGGTTTCTGCCATACTTTTTGTGATTCCTGTAATTAATTAAATGTTATTTATTGCTCTTTACTTAATTATGATATGAATGAATATAAAGAAAGTTTCTATATAACTTACTTTTATACCACTAACTTTTTCTATGTAATAATCGTAGACAAATTTAGCCATATGAGGCATGTCTTCAATTTCCATTGGTGAAGTAGAGAGATTAGCATTATTAAGTCTCTCGGTAGGATAATGTTCTTGAGGAAGAAGCTGTAGTTTTAATGGCCGCTGCATTAGCTGAGCAAATGCGGGTGTTAATTCAAAACAGTTGTTAAAAAGAGATACTCTAGCAAAAACATAAAGGCCAAGACGCGCTCTTGACATAGCGACTACTAATCGTCGTGCATCTCGTAAGTGACCGACAGCTCGAGTTTTCACAAGAGATAGTAATATATAGTCGTTTTGTTGACCCTGGTATTTATCAACTGTTGTTACTTTATTTGGTCGACCTATCAAAGGATTGCTAGCACATCTTATGTTTATTACGTCTCTTATTAAATGTTTTTGTCCATTATAAGTAGTTAATATACTAATTTTGTCTGCTGGATAGCCAAGAAGACGCATGTACATAAATACAGCTACGCAATACTCAGCTTCAGCGAGATTTTGATAAAAGTAGGCACTGGGTTCACTTTCACCCACTCCATTGAAATCTTCGACATTAATAAGTTGAAAGTCATATAAGAATCCAGCATTTGCCACTAAGTATTCCGGGCTATTTTCCACATGTGCAAGATTGCCCAATTTTTTATAACGCCAGTTGTATAAATTGCAAATGCTGGGTCTTGCACGACCTTGACCATCGAGGTCAACTGTAGGAACACCCAATCGTACAAATCTTGCAAAAAGAGATTGTTCCATATTTGAATATTTCTGGAAAGCCATGTTTTTAATAACTGGTGGTAACTGATGATGATCTCCTATCATTATCCAACGTTTCAATCGATTATATCCATCTTGTGGATTCTGTAGTAATAACGGTATAAAAGTTTCAATTTCTAAAATTTGAGCAGATTCTTCCATGAGAATGTTGTCGTATTTAAATCCCATGTCTACTAGTTCACGTCTTTTAAGAGCAGCATGAGTACAAGTCATAGCAATAACTTTTGCTTCTTTGACTAATAAATATTTCGATCTATCTAAGCCAGATCGTAATAACTCGAAAGCTCTAAACTCTTCTAATTGAGCAAAAATCCGCTCTATATATCTGCAAGAATGATATTTAATAAAAATTTAGTTATAAATATAATTTCTTATGTAAAATCTTTATTTGATATAAATTTACCGAAAACAACTGCATGCTATTTCAAGATCTTCTTCATACGAATTTCTTTTAAATAATGGTTTTGGCGCATTGTCAAAGAATTTATGAAATGGAAATTCCTCATCTATGATAAAAGCAGCAGATGCATTATTTCCTGTCCCCTGTCTTTGCTTAATTCTGGTTTCAAAGCGTTCCCATCTTGTGAGTATTTGATACATAAAAAAGTGTCCTGCTGTTTCGCATGTATATGCGACATCACCTTTTACGTTTAAAGATTCCTAAAACCATTAATTTTGTACATTTTATACATGTAAATCATATGTAATAGATATAATACATATTGTAGTTCATATTGTAAATTACAAACCTGTAATCTTTGAACTTCCATTAAAAGATCCAAACGTTTAGCTAGAACATAATTAACTCTACCGTATCTGCTGAAATCTTTCTCAGTTTCTAGCGCTTCTTCGCCATGACCAAGACGCAATAAATGTCTTTCATCTATATCAAGTGCCATGATTTTCTCAAAAAGTTGATTCAGTGCTTGATTAGAATGTGTAACTATAAGGGTTCTCTGATTCGGGAAATTATGATAAAGATTTGATATAATTTGAACAGCGACATCCGTTTTACCAGTACCAGGAGGACCTACAACAAGCGTCAATCCTGGTTGCATACCTGCACGAATGGCTTCGACCTGCGTTGGTGTAAAAGGAATCTGATTTCTGGAATGAAATTGTATATAATATTATTATACATAACTTTTACTTTATCACTAAAGAAGGAAAAAAATAGTTCCTCATACTTTTTTGGTTCATTAGCTTTATAAGGGCCTCTACTGGGTGGCACATGAGGTTCAATTTTGATAACTTTCTTTACGGGTTCAACATTATGTTTCGCAAGTACATCTTCAAATGTTAAACGAAAAGGACGTACTAATTTCGATTCATCATTGGTAGAAACCTTAATTTCATATTGAGGGAAGCTATTTTTTAAATGATTTATATCAAGAAATGTATCATTGAAATCCATTGATGCAATTTCATTTGGCATTCTATAAGAAAATAAAAATATGGAATATCTAGAGACTTTTAATATTATTGTATATTTCAAGTATAATATCTGTATCTGATGTACCTAGAATAACGAGCAGCACCAGGATCACCATATCCGAGAATTATGTCATGCAACCAATAGGGTACGACGCATTCTGTATTCATAAGCTCTCTTATCGTTTCCAAAACTGCTTTGAAATTATTCTCTTTAGGTTTACGTCTCATTATGATGTTAAAACTTTCATATACATCTTCACCACCATGGCTAGCATTATCCATATCAATTCTATATTGATTACAATCTAGCCAAACTCTATACGTGCGAGTATCTCCAGGTAAAATCGGGCGTGGTTCAGGTCCATCTTCGATTACTCTACCGTTTGAATCTAACATACCTTCAACTTCACATCCTCGTACAGTTGTTAATCCAACTTGTGGTACAAAAGGTACTTTGTGACTGTATTTTGTACCTGCATGTTAAATTATTGACTTAATTGCCTTTTTAATTACATGAAGTATAATAAAATAATTAAAATTATTTGATGAAATCTTACCGATTGGGTTTTGTGGTTTAACTGTAATGAGGAAACAGACATCGTGTTTCCGGAGGTTTTCCCATTCAGACTTAATTTCTTTACGAACACTTAAATTTATTGTGACATCAGCACGTACTCTGGATGGTCTTTTCTCGCCAATATTAGGTTTCGCTACCTCGACTACAGCAAATTGTGTAATAGGTTGAGCCATTCTAGCCCAACCGCCGAAGTAAACACCACCATCTTCGGCTCGCCTAGATAAAATACATTATATTATTAATAATATACTTTTTAATGGTTTTAGTTTATTGAAATATAGTAATTTACCAAGGGCTTAGTCTGCTCACAGCATCTTCGATATCTTGCCGTATTTCATCTATAAATATTTCATATCATTATTTACTGTACTATATTACAGGATGATTTTTTCGCCAGTTGATTCAAATGAAATTATTCCACAGTGATAACATTATGCTAATCTATACATATGATTTAATATCGCAAATCGATAATGGCTCTGTGTTAGGTCAGAGACGATTACGTGTGTGTATATCCATGAAATAAAAATGAAAGTGTTTATCCGCGATATGATTGGCGACGTTGGTTTTGTATCAACTAGTGAGAAGATCATCCTATATTACTTCAATTAATTACATTTATTCTATACATACAAGTTGATTCAAGTCGAAATAGATTGAAGTTTCTCAGTAAATAATCGTGCAGAGTAAGAAATTGCAGATTCAATTTTGGCAAAGCTAAACAACCTTCGCCAGAAAAATATTCTGTCGGTACAATACTCTCGTTCCAAATGATCTCTTCTGTTGGATAAAGTGGCATTTCATTGAGCTCCTCTAACTGAGAAGCTCTACGCTCGTGACGTGAAATCTAAAGTTTATATTATTCACAATGTTAAATCTATATTTTCTATTCCTCCTTCTTTTACTAACTTTCTTTTTACTTAACTTACCAAAAGTTCTCGAAGAAAGTCTATATCATACCGGTACCAATTCTCATCTTTCTCGCGTTCTTCCGATGGTACCAAACTGAGGTAACTTGCAATTGATCTTAGCTTCTCTTGACTGAAAATTTGCATAGAGATAAAATATGAAAATGATTTATAATTCTTTAGAAAAGCGTACAATAAATAAGATACAAATTGTAAGGAGATTACCTGAGTAACCCGAAGTGTTTATAAAGAGCTTCTCTCGTATCAACGCTCGCTACATTCGCCAACGCAAAGCTTCGTAAGTCCGGGAACTTCGCAAAAACTGCTTTCTGTGCACAGTTTGAATTTTGTTTGTTGGTTTATGCTTTTGTACTCCTTTGGTTTTAATATGTGAACGCCCATTCTAACGAGAACGTTGATGATTTGACAAATGATGCGGAAAAATCGTTTCAATAATGCATAACTCGAAAGTTGAATACTTATTTACAAGAATTAACATATCAATTAATAGCAAGACAAGTAATTTTGTCATTTTCATTATTTGATAAGAAAGAATATTTTATTTCTTTTCTTGGAATTGTCTACTTCTTTTCGATAAAAAGAAAGATAAAAAAGAAATTTAATTTTTAAAACAATAGTTTCTTAAGCGTTCGAAATATATGTTATGTTTCATACCTGAAGCGAAGTAATTTTAGTGTAATGCAATTGTGTCATATCGTGATCAGTGAGGGGGTCGCCGCTTTCTTCATTGATTTCAAACCTCGCGTAAAACTTCAACATTTCTAATAGCTGTAAATCGAATAAACAAATATAATCATATATATCAAATATAATCAATAATATTTATCACACCATAATGTGATAAATAAAAATAAATGTCTATGATAAATAAATATGTAGACTATTAAAACTATGCAGATTCGTAATACGTTACTTCGTTTGACACTATTACTATTCACAAGTGATTTCCGATGTCACTTGCTATTGTTTAATTATTTTTTATGTTTTATTATGCATATATCGAATACTAATCCATTTATTTAAGGTACAGCCTATCCCTTAATGAGCTTTCCGTTGTTTCTATCAATAATTACTTTATAAATACACATATCTATGTCCATTCAAAGTTCACCTCGGTAGAGATTGATGAAGCAACAAGACTGTTTAATCATTCTCCACGACGAAAATATTACGCAAAAAAATACCATTACAATGAATGAAGAGACGCCTGCAAATCAATTATATTTGCGAGTGCCAATGTGGATTAAATGTAACATTATTCAAGGCTGTGTCAGTTGTCCAGGGTTATAATAAACCATGTCTCGTCAGAAAAATCCTGTGAATATATGCGTAGCACGCTTTCTACATTATAACGTACGAATAAAATCAACATGACATTAATTTGCTATTAGCGTATTAAACTTATAAAATCTTATCTTGCAGTAGTTTATTTAAGCTTTGACCTTTCGGTCTTTCCGTAATTTATGGTAGGTGGATTATGGATGACTAACGAGGAATACTGCCCTTCCTAATTAATATTTCCATCTACCATTTCGAAATTGGAAGAAATCTAAGTTTTACCGTTAAACTGCGGTTGTTAATGCATTTATAGAAAATTTTAAGGTGAGGCAATTTTTTGGATACGCGAAAAATATACAAAATATCCTAGGTAAAGTATGCGTTACAGTAATCGGTAGATGAAACAAATCTTTATGTAAGTTTCGCTTGTTTTTTTATTATGTTGGTAAAAATATGAATTTATAAATGCATAACTATGTATAAACATCCATTTTTCTATGCCAGCATTATCTCTTTCTTTGTTCATTTTAGAATACTTAATTATTGTTTCGTAACAGCCTGTACAATATAATTTTACTTAAAAGATAAACAACATACGGGAAACTTGAAATACTTCAACGTATCTTGGATAGTTGGAAAAATATTAGAGATTAAATATCAATTAAGAGGGACAGAATAGCTAAGGAAACGTAGAAGAAGGGGAGAGGATCGTAAATTAGAATAAAGGCATCGGTGAACCTGTTCGACAGGAACCCATTCTCCTCGTGAGGATACAAAGGCACACTGAACACTGCACTGGTAGTAAGCCAGCCAAGAAGTCTGTACTTCGGCCACAGTGGGAGTATCTTATATCTCGGACCGGCTCATCAATGCTTCATCTACAATTGTTCAGTACCACGCGTAACGCAAGTGTGTCAACGTGTCTGTCTGGTTATCTGCCACTTCTTCGTTTTACAATCTTTATTTGTCGTACGAGTAGATCGAGTAATTCGTTCTAATAGTGAATGGAAAAACTAGTGGCTATAGAAGGTGACTGTTCTTTCTTCTTTTTCTTTAAGAACTGATCGAGATCAGTTTTTCGTCGATACGAAAGCGCTTCGTGCTTCGGTACAGTTTTTCTTAAATCAAGAATTCAGATGGTGAAAAGCTATATCCGCTGATAATTTACATTCTAACGTTGTATGTTTATCAAACGAGACAAGAGTATAAAATTAGACAAATTAACATGCTAAGACCAACAGAATTAATATGCTAAGTCGAGCTTAAATAGCGAAGGCTGTTTTTGATCGGTCCCAAGATTGATCTCTAAGATTTTGTTTCAATCTTTCATCAGACAACAAAAAAGACGATCCTTATTTTGAACTTCTGCGACAATAAAGATTGCCAGGTATATATGATTAATGGGATTGAATCGATTGGTTATTTGGTGAATTTTACTGAAACAAGCTCGTTCTGCAGTAGATGAAAAGCAATGTATTAATAAAAATCAGAGAGATGATGCTGAATGTGAATTATAGCAGGCGTTCGGGCACATTGCCAGTCAAAGGTACGTAAAGCTCTACTGATTGGATTATTCTGATTTTTATTCTTTGTTTATCTCCCTCTGTGTGTGTGTAACCATACACACACACACACACACATGCATATTCTATTCAGCTGCGTTAAATATTAACTCAACTACTCGTCGGGTTTTTAATTCACTGTTCGTGATATATTTTGAAATTTTGTCTTGTCTTCTGAATAGATTTTATTGAGGAAAGGTATGTTGTTGTGAAGTATGTCGTAGGCATTCTGAAGATGAATACTAGTTAATACTTGGACTGAGATAAATACTAAGTATTAACTTAATTACTCATCGAGTTACTTGGAAATTTTGTCGAATCTACTGAATAGATTTCATTGAGGGAAAGATATGTTGTTACAAAGTACGTCACAGATATTTCGAATACTAGCTAATAGTTTGCCTTAGATAAATAACCAAACAGGCCTTGGATTCGTATAGATTTTGCGTTGTAACGAATGTTTGACGCGTAACACGTCGGGAGGTTTTGCTTATGATAGATTAAGACGCATGTGTGTTTTAGGAATTTCCAACGAATTATTCGACGGAATGACGATGTAGGTTTTCTCGTTCGAGGAAGAAACATGAAATTTTACATGCAAAAACACGTGTTGCATCACGCGAGAAAAGAGAAAGAATTTACATGTTTGTTATTTTCCTTCTCTCGTCGATCACGGTTAAAGCGACTGATAGAAGGAAAGTGTCGAAGCCAGGGGCAGTAAAAATCATAGATACGCTCTATGTGCGTCAGATATATTGAAGATGTATGGCAAATAACGTTATCACCAATGATTAAATCATTTCACATTACTAACTTCCGTTACTTCACGAAACTATCTTTAATAAATAGGAAATTCTATAAATACGAAGTCTGCAATACTTGATTCTGCCATTCTCGCGCGTGTTTAGCGAACTTTTCATTCATCTTCTTTATGAGAACCCGATGTTTATTACTGAATGATACAAATGAAATGCAAATGAATACAAACATGTATCAATTTTGAGATATCGATAAAATCGTTTTTTTTTCTGATTGTACTCATTTAAGTAAAATATAACATAACATTGTAAAGCATTAGAAAATGACGATACAAATAATACTTCATTAACGTAATTTGAATAAATTGAATTAGCCGCATTGATACCATAGCAATCGTAAAAAACAAGAGAAAACACGTGCTGCACATGGCTCAATGAAAAAGAGCAATGGTTCGTGCAGGCATTGAGGAAGCTAAGAAAAGGGCATAAGGAGCATTCTCGCTAACAGAAGCACAAACATCCCTTTTCTTTTTTCGATCCAGTCATTTCATACTGCATACGTGCATAACAACCACCAGTGAACTATATTACTACAACTGCGTCTTTTTAAATGCGAATCTCTTTGTTTCCCAGACCGAACGTGCTCGATATTCAATTACCGATAACGAGAACAATTTTCTGCAATATATCATATCTTATCGAGAACATGGAATTAATCATTTTGTTAAATACATTGTTTATAATCTTTTTACGCGGGCAGAAAAAGAAGCATCGATCTACGATGAATATTAGAATGGAAAAGATGTTCTCTCTCGTCTTATTCCTTCTAAGAATTATTTGCCTTCATTCTGACATCGTTAACAATTTCGTCATATTACCACTCATTTTGCTACCAAATTAATAAGAACTTCCTGAAACATAGAAAAGATAAAATATTGGAATCGTTGTGATATCATAGCGATATTCGTGAAATCCCTTTCAAGCTTTCAGATTGTATCGATACATTCGTGATATTCGTCACGAGTGCCACAAGTTCGAAGTAAACGGGCGCCTTTACGTATCAAATATAAATACGTTTTAATACTCATTTATATACACAAAAATCGGACGATGGAGATTCTCGCTAAAAGTACTTGAAAACGATCTTTATAGTGCCATATATGTAGCAATAACAAGTGTGTGCTTCAATATATAATAATTGATATAATCTACTTAGTTTTCATGAAGAGCGAAACTTTCACGATCGAGTGTGACTGAGGATGAATTACCCTTTTCTAGGGTTGCTATGGATCAGTCTATTAATGTTGGCGATCACATGGAGTCAGGCGAAAGACAACAATTGCTGTTCGGATGGTCTCATGTGGTTACATACGCTGAATTGTTCTGATGGCAACGCGATTAATCTCGCGTGCTCATTTGGTTGGTACATAGTTAATCCTGAAATGTACACGTCCGATAACTTCACTATAATCGAGGAATATGGGAAACCGTGGCTGCAGTTTGTAGACACGATATCCACAAAAATAGAAGCAGAGAGGTAAACGATGTGTTTCAGTTGCATTTCTTTCAGTGACGTTTGCAATTTTTTTCAAGAAGTTTGTTTAGTCCTCAACTGTTATCGTTGGGTCATAGGGGTCCATAACAGTTCGCTCATATATCTTAATTTGTGTAGTGTTTATCACATACAACACAGAATAAAAGTTGAAATAAATGAATAACTAAATTCTCGTGGATCACGATCCAGCAACACTAATCGAAGATTAAAGACAATCCGTGAAATCGACATAATACTGTCTGTTAATATTCTTCTTTCTATTCTATTTTTAAAATATGAATAAAACAGGATTTAAGCTTATTTGACACTTAAATATGTTAAATTTTATGCACTTTTTTTGTATATTCCTAATTTAATTAAATATTCAGGTTCTGCGTGGCAAGAAATCCGAACAATGGTGTCAAAATTGCTTTGGTATGCACGGATACCGAATACGACGGTATTCAATGGAGAAACACATTGTTCTGCACCCTGAGTATCATATCGGCCATATTTTTGATCATCACCTTGGCAGTTTATGTTTTGCTACCAGAATTAAGAGAGATTCAAGATAAAGCAATGATGGCTGTAGTCACGTCATTAACAGTTAGCTATATCATCCTTTCCATTCAGATGTTGAGGAACTCGCACGATGATGATTATCATATATGTGTCTCTCTAGGTACGACATGCTGATAATCATTTGTTTATTTATATCACAATTACTCATTTACATTGTATGATTTTTAAGTCAATAATTCATTTATTCTTCTAGGATTTATTTTATATTTCGGTTTTATGGCTGTTTTCTTCTGGTTAAACATCGTCTCATTCAATATATGGAGAATAGTTTGGTAAAACCAATAAAGTCGATAAAAACATTTAAAGATCTAGTTCATTCGTATTCATCATTTGATTTGTTATTCCTACAGGTTTAAAGATTTTATGATCGGAGATAAAATGCTTTTTACTATTTATTCTATTATCGGCTGGAGTGGACCATTATGCTTATTAATTGCAATTTTGATTACTCATCACGTAGAAGGAAACCATCTGAAACCCGGTTTTGGAGAAAGTAGCTGTTGGTTCAATGGTAAGAACAATATCTTTCAAAACCTAACGATCTTTTAATAGTCTCCGTTATTATATATTAATCTTGTTATTGAATAACGACTATCGTCTATGTTTTTATAGGACATGAACAAACGTGGGCGTATTTTTATGGCCCAATCAGTATTTTATTGACGTTAAACGTTATCTATCTCGGCCTAACTGGCTGGCGATTGTGGCATCAGTATCGTAACTATAGCGGAAGCAAATTACGAGTACTTCGTTTTAAATGCCTGCTTTACATCAAACTGATACTTTTCATGGGCGTAACATGGATTTTTGAAGTGCTTTCGTATGCTGATCATAGTAAACAAGATTTCTGGTAATTTCCATCATTTTTGTTTATCAACAAAATAAGTCACAATCTCGTCGAAGAAATTAATTTTCTCAATTGCTAAGATATAGTAGACACGTTGATGCTTGACTACATACTTTGATTCTTAATTCCAATTTAGGATACCGATGGATATAGTGAATGCATTACAAGGCTTTATAATATTCCTCTTGTTGGTTGGGACGCGAAAACGAGTGAGAAAGTTGTTGGCAAAAAAGAGACCTTGTGGGATTGGCTTTCCAAAATCTTGGGCAGCTTACGAGGATGAAGAGTGCGAGGAAGTACTACCTGAAGAAGTCGAATTATCGCAACATGATTAGTGTTTATAAAAATAACTTTGTTTCTTTTTCGTCGCTAATAACGTAACGTAATAAGACGTGTAGTTTCTTCTTATACCAATATATTCGACTAGTCGAAGATAATCATAAGTAATGACAATGAGACAAAGAATTACTTCTATTTAAGTAACATAGTCGTATAAAGATCGTATAGAATTTAATACTCTTTTAATGAATCGTCGTAAAATACGTTTTTTAAGAATCTCTACAAACATTGCCTAGTAACAAGTATCGCGTTAATTATCGTGTCATTTACTATCATGCGATTTTTGCCGATCTGTAGATTAGCTAAAGAACAAGAAGGTTCACAACTCATCATGGCAATTTCGTGTAATCTAGTAATTTTATTATCTTCTTCGTAGGCGTCCGTATCAAACTTTCTCATTCTAATCGACTGACGCGACACTTCCGAGACGACGATTTATCTTACATCATCATGTACTTCTGACGTCTTTGAGTCATTAAAAACGTGTTAGTCGACAGATATCGCAAACGTTAAAACCACGAACGCTGGAGCACACGAAATATGAGCGTAAACATTCGAAGTTGCCAGAATACTTTTTACTACCATAACGAACAAAATGAAAGTGTTCTATCTTAAAATAAATATAAGAGACAAAAAAAATGAATTATGTAAACAACGTCAATTAAGTATGATAATAAAATTAAGCGTCATTTTTAATTTAAGCATTATATCCATTGGAATAAAAAAATCCAGGTAATTTTAATATTACTTCACGTAAGTTTTATATCTTTTCCTTTCTAGAAATTATATTTATGTCATGTAGAAATAGATAGATAGAATTTTCTACAAATTAAAAAATTATTTAATTAACAAATTCAAAATAATCTACGGTGTGCAAAAAGAGGTAGAGTAAAAACTAAATTATCGTTGATACGCTGCATTGAACAATCGTATTTCTCGTTGCGTGAAGCTATTACGATGATTAAACAAAACAATCTGCGCGAGTAATCAATTAATTTGTTGCACGAAGACATGATAAACGACAATAGCGCAAAACAACAATGACGTGTGTGGTGGTTACCCACATACTACTATGAGTAATGCTAGTATCGACATTGCAAAGATGAGGATTTGCATTGTCGTGATACACACACGAATGCAACGTGACGTTTTCCATGGCGACGGAACATGTTACTGATCAATATTTTAGCAACGCAAAGGTTGCTACTGCAGCGAGAAATGCAAAACTTTTAATACCTTAGCAGTGACTCGTGTGCAACACGATTCTTTGGACTTCAAGTTCGAATTACCGGCAATTTCAGAATATTTTTATTCTTTAATTTATATAGAGTAATATAGTATAACAGACAGTGAATTATTTGTAAGATGATTTAGACCTTAATTTGTACACGTATAAGATAATTTTCCTTCGAAAGATGGTTATTTATGTAAAGATTGATTGACTAAGGACAAGTAACAAGGATTGGCTATCCGTAACATTTGTAGCGTAGTCTATCTTGAACTTTTTTTTTTGCTCATTATTCATAAAATATCTACGTTTGTATATTATACAAATGCGATAAGTTGCACTGTAAAAATAAACGTGCAAATAATAAAATAAATATGTCGTTAGCATAAATAAACGTATTATGATACATGATAATCGATTTGTTACATTGAAAAAGATTTCGTACATCGATTTTCGTTGTAGTCAACGAGAATGAGTTGAATTGATTGAAAAATATGTCCAAATTAACCATGCAAAAAAGGAGGAAATTTTATGAACTTCCAATTATGACTATTATATCTCCTACGAATAAGATTCATAATTAGAAGCTGTGCGAAACCAAGAAACGCGTTGTAATTTCAAGGAGCGATTGTGCAATATGATACAGATATATACATATGTATGTACCTCCAGCATGCCTCTAGACCTGATTTCATTCCTAAACTATACTATAATAAACTATACCTAACAATTACAATCTTTTTCGTATACATATAGCTATTAAAATGTCATTTCACTGCTTCAAACCTGCTGATTATAAGTAGATATGTCACTATACCCAATTCCAGGGCCTGTTCTAGAGGCATGCCTCAAGATAAGTTTCATCCATAAGTTTCATCAAGTATTTAGAGGCCGCTTAAAAACTGCGAAACAAATCGCACGTATATAACAAAGCACCAGTTAATCGTATAAAGTATGAAGTAATGCCATTGCATAAATGCTGATAAACGTGCTATAAATAATTATGTTATAGATGATTATATTATAAATATTCGGATCATACAGCAAATCGAACTTTTACAAGTTAAATTAACGCGAAGATACGAATATCGGAAGAAGAACCAACGAAGCCAAAATGCAAAGTAAACGAGAAAGGTAAAGATGAGTATACGAGAGGAGGGAGAGCGATGAGGCAGCCATAGGGAAGGGGGAAAGAGAGAAAAAGAGAGTAAGCAAGCCAGCGTGCGAGTGAACAAACGGAAGAGAAAAAGAGACAAAAAGATAGTGCAACAGAGAATGGAAATGGATGCGATGCGATGGCGGCGAGTATGGCAGGGGTAAGTCTCGCTAGGCGGGTAACTACTACCGCAGGCGGCATTGGCAGGTATGACGATGAACACACGAGTAGTCCTATTATCGTTGCGTTAAAATGAACGAGTGAATAACAACGCTGTTGAAATAACGTCAGGGTAGCCATCACGAAATCGATCACGAACAACGCTAAACTCGGCCACGGCGGAAAGTTAGTTGACGAATGAATGCACGGAACCAATGTATGGTAACAAAGACGCGAGAGTAGGAACGGTGCCGATTCGATGACATGTATTATCTCGTGAGTGCGTTGCTTATCATCGTTGGTATACTGGGGAATCATCCCCTTCTTGCAAACACAGACGGGAAGGCAAATTTGATCAGCGTGGCGAAGTGTTGCGAGCACAACGAGCTTCTTGTAGACGACACGTGCACGCCATTGACGGAAACGAACGAGACGGAGTGGAGACCGGAATTCATCGAGGAGGTCAATGGTATATCAAGGAGCAAACCGGTTAAACCGAATTATCAACTGAAGATTGGAAGACCTAAGTGTCAATCCAACGAGCATCAATGGAACGTATATCATTATCGATCAGGCGAGGATCGGCTCGCGATACTGACAACTGGCGTGTTGCGACACTACACCACCGATTTGACAAAGGGAAAGCAAAACGAATATAATGGTGCATTTGGATTCGACAATGCAGATTCAATGGACGAAGATGATCTGGAGACGGTTTCTATTCATTATGATTATCCGTTCGGACATTATTGCGCTGACAAAGCAATTTTGAGCAGAGATCGACTGGTAGCGATGTACGCGATGATTTGCGTACCCGACGTAGTCGTTACATGGTCCGATACAAATTATTTGATGAAACATGCCATCGATCCCACCTTTCATGCTATATCGATAGCTAGTTATCTGGTTGTCGCGGTTGTTTATTTTGTTCTACCACAACTGCGTGATCTTGTGGGAAACATGATAACTAGTATGACTCTGTGCCTTATAGCTGGGCAATCTGCGTCTACCGTCAGGATTTTCACGGAATTCGGCAATCACATCAGTTTTATGATTGCCGGTATGAAATACATGAATATTCATAAATATTCAAGCTATTCATGGAAAATTAAATTTCAATTCCAATTAGGATATCTTCGATTGAAAAATGCTTAACTTTTTACGAGAATATTTCTTTCTTTCAGATACCGTCATGTATGTCTCCTTGCTAGCTGCATTTTTCTGGTTGAACGCCTTGGGTTACTACGTATGGAGCACTTTCCGTTCGCGAAACGTATTTTTAAGAGTAACTGACGGCAGAAAGTACTGTTACTATTCTACGTATGTTTGGGGTTCGACGGTTTGCATAGCGGGCACTGCGATTTTTGCACACTTTGCCTTAGAAACTAATAAACCTGTCGTTGGTGGAAAGATATATCCACCTCAAGAAACAATCGGTTGGCTCGGTATTTCCGTATTATTTACATCGATCGCATTTACTATAATGATTGATTTATCTTTCGTATTAACAACCGCGAACAGGATTAAAAGAATGAGCACATACGGTCGAATTCATCATAAAATGAAATACAGCTTTAGAATGTTCGTTTTCCTATTTGCGATAATGAGTACCGGTTGGCTATTATTCCTGCTATCACGACTGAATTACGAAGCGTTAGAGTATTGTCATATCGTTATTAATTTGCTACAGGCAATTTTAATACTATACGTTTGCGTATTTGGACAAAGAAGGGTTACATTCTTACTTGGTAAAACATGCAACTGCTGTAATTCAGGCGAAAATATCGAGGGCCTTGATTGGGGCGAAGAAATGACTGCCATTAACGCAGGATATTAAACAATTTTTAAATCGTATAATCGATTATGAAATTCGATCTCAAATGAAATAATTTTGTTCTATGAAAGCGTTGTATTTTGCACATTTGATTAAACATATCAAGTGAAAAGCATATTTAGCAATGATAGTCTATATCACAAACCAGTGCTCGACAAGGAATATATCATATTAGTTCATATTAACAAATACATGTTTTATTAAGGCAGGAACATAACGTCCATAAATAGTAAGCTAAGGCATTGTATATAATGGTATTTAATTAAAAGAATTTTTAAAATCAACAAAATTATATTATTCTAGGAGAATATAATATTTATATGTATCATTTTTGATAGATTCATTGCTTTTTACATACAAACTTAAATATATCTATACTAAATATGTATTTATCTATTTGAATAATTTGGAACTTATAATCATAAGTGCCTTGAAACAAAATTTTTTATGCCTTACGAAAATGTGCACTTATCTGTATAAAATATAACATTAATCGCAAAATATATAAACATCCATAAACATTATCATTGCATCTATCATTTCTTATAAAAATATCATCTTCTAAGGAATTTTTTACTTTTAAGATATTCATATAATATTTATATTTGTACAAACATATGACTTTTGTAAATGGTGTATCATTTTTATAAAATCAATTTCAATATATCCTTTTATACTAGATATTTCTATTTATTTGAAAAACTTGAGAAATAAAATTTACCTGGCCAAACAATTCACCTTCTGGACGATGTAATAAATTGGATAGCTGACATCTCACTACCAAATGACAATCATCCATAACAGTATTGAAGAAACGTCTAGTTGGTAATAGAGCTTCTAAATCTATTACTAACTCAAGAAACCTTTCACAATATCGTACCTTATCTGGTAAGAGTGGTCCTATTGAGAAGTAAATAGCAAATTATAATATTGTACCACAAAACTATTTTTGAACAATATAAAACAGATTAGATTTTTATTTGGTTTAATTTACCTTCCTCCGGTACTGTTTCCAATATTGTCATAAATTTTATCATTAATCTGTGTAAAAATTTACGTTCCCACTCTAACTTTTCTTTACATTCAGGATTATCTTTTTTCATTATAACCTTCCAGTACTTTCTCCACTTTGGATATTTCCTAAACTCTAATTCTCTACGACCTTGTTGCAATGAAATCCACATGGACAATGACACCAGCCGTTTTACTTCTTCTCTAACTAATAATACTTCCATGGAATTAAAACAATGATTCAAAAAAACGATCAGTGCTGTTTGTTCTTTCAAATCAAAGTCCATTATACTGTCTTCAAGGCATGTCTCTAAGACTTTTTGGAAAAATTCAGAAAAATATTCTGGAAGTTTCTCAAATACTTTCCAAACTTGAACACGTTCTCGAAATTTTTCATTCACCATAACAACAATGGACATAGTATGAGCACGAGTTGCAATTTTTGTATTGTAATATGGCCATAGAAAATTTTCTAAATACTGACTGAACTCTAACATCATAATTCTTCGAATAGAAAATTTAGATGCACATATTTCTTGGATGTAAATATCTTCTACTATTTGTGAACTGAATGGAAGATGTGAATCTATAGTATGTGGTGCCCAATATTTATTTGCAAGCTGTAATTATTTAATAAAATAGATGTAAAGAAAAAATATGTGTAATCCATGTAATAAAGTAGGTTTAACTATAAATACCTGTGTTATACGATCAGCATTAATCTGTTCCACTGTGGGAGCAGGATTATTGCTTTTAACTGTCATAGCGTTTTGATTTTCCATGTTGGGCCGTTGACTCAATTGACTTTAAGGTTAAGTTTAAGGTTAAGATTAAAAATTAACCAATGTTAGACATGATAACAAGTAATATGCATTTATGTAGTAAACTGTATACAGTCATAAAAATCATTTATTTCACTTTCTTTCCAAATAAATCTGTACTTACTACAATTATTCAGATTTACTAGTAACTATCAAGCAGCACGTACTCATATAAAATTTTTATATTTTCATACACACAGTACCACGATTGTGCATTGGCTAAGATAAAGCTCCAATCATTTCTGTTGGTTAAAGAGAATATTTTAAAGCGAAAAGTTAAATCATATGATTGGTACATTTGCAATTGTTGATTCCTTTATTATTATAAATAATATTGTTGATAAATTCATAATTTTACAATCAGATATTAATATAAAAGAGGATAGTGGAGGTAAATTCATATGTCTCTTTCATTTTTATATAAGATGCGCATTCTGTTATTCTTTTCACTATATTTTTCTTTGTCTATTAATGAGTGAAGAATGAACAGACTTCCTTGCGAACGTTTACTGCTGAATTCAAATAACTGTCGTACATGTGTTAGTGTTTGCTAAGCACATTGTCTGCACTTTTTAAATATATTAAATTGAATTTATATGTGTAATTTTTAAAATTTTTAAAAACAGTTTATAAAAACAATATAATAAAGTTTTTATTGAAGAGATCATTATAATGTCGAATTCTAGAAAAACCAAAACAAGACGTGATAGTGATTCAGTAGATATTAATCCTAAAAGAATGAAATCAGAAGATGAAGATAATTCAGAAAAAAAAGAAAATAGTATAGTTACAAGTGATACTTCACTTAACATTTCTGAACAATTATTGTCAGTGGAACATAATTTGGCTACTGAGTTAAGAAAAATTACATTCCGTTTGCCAGTAGAGTATGTTTATAGTCCACTTGAATATGCATTTAATATACACACTATGTATGTACAAAAGTATTGTAATACTGTTAAGAAAATATTGTTTCTTGGAATGAATCCTGGTCCTTGGGGTATGTCCCAAACTGGTGTTCCATTTGGAGAGATAAGTATGGTTCGCGACTGGTTAAAAATTTGTGGACATGTTGGAAAACCAGCCAAAGAACAGCCAAATAGAAAAGTAACCGGATTTCAATGTACTCGTAGTGAAATCAGCGGGAAAAGATTATGGGGTCTTTTTCAAGAATTATGTAAAAGTCCAGAGAAATTCTTTGAACATGCATATATACATAATTATTGCCCTATTGCATTGATGAATAAAAAAGGCTGTAACATTACACCAGCAGAAATAAAGGCAATATATCTATCTTTTATTATAGTCATATTTATATATTAAATGTCTTACTTTTTTAGGGACCAGAAATACAAATCTTACATTCTGCTTGTGACAAGGCATTAATAGATGCAATTAAGATTTTAAAAGTTGAAATTATAATTGGCATTGGTGGATATGCAGAGAAACGAGCACAATTAGTAGTTCAGTCTTCAAAATTACCTGTGAAGGTAATTACCACTTACTAGAATTTTGTTTATAATAGATATAGAAGAAATATATGTAATTCTTTTATGTTTTTAGGTTTTATGTTTACCTCATCCAAGTCCACGTGCTGTGAATAATAAAAATTGGAGTGAAAAGGCAACACAAAAGTTAAGTGAGTTTGGATTACTTGAATGTTTTACAGCTTAAAATACCTTGACAAGAAAAATAATTTTTTGCTCTTTATCAGTACAATTTCATGTTACCTAACTGTACTATTTATGTTACATATATTACTTTATAAATTTGTGGTAATTTCTAATATTACTTTTTTAAGTATTATTGCGTGCGTGTATATGTGTGTATATGTGTATTTGATAATTTTTCTATGAAAATTTGTCAAATTTAAGTTATTAAAACATAAAAGAAATACAATGGATGTTTTAAGTTGGATGAATGTTGCTCTACAAAAGGCAAATGATTCACTAAAATCAGGTGAAGTTCCAGTTGGCTGTTTATTTATATATAACAATGATGTCATTGCTACAGGTAATAATACAGTTAACGAAACTCGCAATGCAACTCGACATGCAGAAATAAATTGTATAGATCAAGTTTTAGAGTCCTGTAACATGAAAGATTTAAGCTATAAAAATGTTTTTTATGATACTGATGTTATTGTTACTGTAGAACCATGTATAATGTGTACATCTGCATTATGTCAACTACAGGTACGTAACATTATATATGGTTGTGGAAACGATCGTTTTGGTGGATGTATAAGTGTGTTTGAAGTACCAAAACTTTATAATTCAAGAACAAAGATAATAGGAGGTATTAAAGGTACTGAAGCAATGACATTGTTAAAAGAATTTTATAAAGGTACAAATCCAAATGTACCTGAATCAAAATTTAAAAAAGACCGTAAAAAAAAGGACACATAAATATTACAAATTTAATAAATTCATTTTTTGTTTAATTATAAATCATTACTAAAAAACATTTTAGTTTCTATTTTGATTTATAATATGATACGTAAACAAATCAATTTTATACAAAATATTATGTATTAATAATTGTATATTGCCAGTAGAGCAAATTGTTTTATATACATGTAGTGGCCTTATTTATTTTGTACTTATTTATGAAGGAATAAATTTTTAAAAAATGTAGTTATGAACACCATGAATGATCTAATTCACACTTGCCTTGATACCATCTGACAAGTAATTGATTTTTTATTGTGTAATCTTTTAATATCATATCTTTTGTCTGCAAATGATGATTAATATTTATTTAATCCACATTAAATAAAATGAATATCTATTCTTAAAAACAACTTACTATGGGAGGTGGAAAGATTCTTTGAAAATCCATTTTATTCTGATTTTCCAAATAACTTTGAGATAAAATCAATTTAGTTTCAGGTGTGAAACATGGGCTACATAACTGACATTCTACACGAAAACAGTCATTACATTCTATGCAAAGTTCTGGCAAAACCATTATATTCTTCTCAGCTACTTCCATTTCTTCCTCCATTCTGTTCCTGTAAATGTTAACATTAGTTAATGTTATATTATTTTAAAAGATTGTTACCTTAATTGTAATATAAAATTTATAAGACCTTATTTTCAAAGAATCTTTCCTGATTCTTTGCCCTATACCAACTAACGAAAATAAGTTAAATATAACTTGTTCGTAAAGTAATTGGTTTGGCAGATAATGCGCTGAAGATAAATTTGGAGACATATTTGCCTCCATGGTATAAATATTTAAATTTTCATCGAGTGCAAAATCGACTCTAATTAACTCGAAAAAATTTCTTCCATTTCCGAAACGTTTTATAGCTTCTTTAATATAAATCTCTTTTGACAAAGTAATTTCTCTGATTGCTTCGCGTACACCACTCCAAACTTTTTCAGGATCTTTCGCTTGCATACGTACATATGCGTCGAACGAATCTTTCATTGAAAACTTCAATTTAGTATAATAATGTTTCAAAGATGGAACATTCCAAATCGGCAAGTAATCATCGCCAACTATGTATTTGTCTAAAACTTCAGGGTCAAATGGATAATATTTTACAGGACAAAATCTAAAGAGCACATCACCTTTGTATATATATACTCTAAGGGGATCAACGGAGGTGATCACGGTGTATATTCCAATATCAAATTTATATCCATCTATGAGAAATGGTCGCTGTATAAATTCTTGTACAAAAGATCCAGTTTCTGTAACATTTATATCGCTCACATTTTTTATGCTAATACCCCGATGATCATTCGATTTTTGTACAAACATCTTTTCTGGATGCTGATTAGCATACAAAAAAAATTCGTTGCTTTGTTCTGGTATCTTAAATGCTGGTAAAATGTAGCGACCTTCCGCGGTTGATAAATCCACCTTATTAGTAATATATCCGCAACCGGGAATATGATTAACACGTTGATGAGCTTTTAACTTCTTTAAGCTAGAACTTAAACTTCTAAATGGGTAGTCATGTGCCCACAATAAATCCCAATTAAATGCATCATTGGTTTGTTTAAATCCCAAACGTTCCAATACAAGAAATACATGTTTTAAATATTCAGTATCGTTACTTTTCGTGTATACTCGATATAATGGATTCTTTTCTTTTATTTCTGCCGTACTTAATTGCGTATTTCTTAAGTTTTCATGGTAGTATAAAAAGGATAAGAAACAATATAAAATTATTGGTCCCGTTATAGAATATAAAAATATATTTAAAAGTGTTTTCACTTTTAAGTTCATCATTTGGGTATATATTGTACATTCATTAACATTCTGTAAAAGTAAATGAAGTTTTTGAACTGGTTATTTCAATTTATCAAAGTAATTTAAACAATCATGCAACTATTAAAAAAATGTACAAACCTGTTTACTAGACATGATTAAACATATAATTTTAATACTATTTGTTAATAATAGTCCGCAGGATGGTATGGCTCACAGTATATTTGTGTCCCCACTACCGAGTTCTAGCTTGATGTAAGTACCGTTGTAGTTTTCCCCGCTATACCACCTGCTCTTTAATGAGAACATACTTTCTTAGTACCGGTTTCTATACATAGAACCTGTGTTAGATTTTATTCTTCAAATACCTTACATTTTGTAAATAATTTAAAAAGAAATAAAATGCGAAGAAATTCACTTCCCAATGGTAAATGTTCTTTAATTTACAATTAAAGTGTATTGTCTTGATAACCGGCCGCGAAACCGAATTTGGTCACTTAGCAAACGAGTACCTTTCTATATACATAAGAAATTCTGGTTCAGTATGAATAGGGTAGAGAGAAAGTTCTGGCAATGGTTAGTTAAAAGGCAAGAAAATAATTAGTTAGTAAGGCATTACTGTACAACGAAATCGTACACTTACCTTTTATAATATACATATACTAAATGTACATATTATTATATAAAAACTGCGGGTTTTTATGTATTTATATAAAACTTAAAAATGTAAAAAAGTACAGGATACTTACAATGTGGAATAGTCTCTGCTAAGTTCCATTGCTATAAATGACAGTCCATAAAAATATAAGTTTGCATAAATATCCGCAATTTAATAATAATAATAGTATATATGTATATTATAACAATAAAGATATGTAATAAGTACAAGTTCTTTTTGATGTTATGTGATGTTTATATTGAGGAACGTTCAAACATTGGCGGGAATCCTTCTAGAGTACGCTAGTGTGTGTAACGTTGCGTTGCAGAGGTTTCTGACCGTTTCCTGCCATTTCGATTTTTGATGCAAACAAATCGTGTGTTAAATCAAACATGGGATTCCAAAACATTTGGTACTCACATCCACGCAAATATGGACAAGGATCTAGATCTTGGTAAGTATTAGTATTTTGTATTATATTTTTAAATTGTAGACAAATCAATTTATATCATAAAGTTACATACATGCAATAGACCGTGTGTCCACGTTTATGTTTTCTCAGTAAAAGAAGATATTTTTATAGCTTTTAGTATAGGTTGTTTAAGATAAATTAAAAATATGAACTACTTTATTATCACTATAATTAAAAAAAAAATTCATATCTTGCTTGAAAATATCATTTCTACAATTTTCGACCATAACCTCAATGTAATATGTATTATGCATAGTATTTATACTTATTATTAGACTGCCGTAGTCTATTTATAATAGCGTTCTTTCAATGTGTAATTATATTATGCTATTTTACAGTCGTGCTTGTGCGAACAGGCATGGTTTGATAAGAAAATATGGATTAAACATTTGTAGGCAGTGCTTCAGGGAATATGCTGCCGATATTGGCTTCAAAAAGGTATAAAATTTGAATTCTTCTATGTCTACAGATATATTTCTAATATATATAACAATTAAATATTATATCTAAATCAATCTCTTTTTATTTACAGCTGGATTAAGGTATGGGAATAATGAAATGAATGTATGAGATACAATAAAATTAATTTTTTCTACTAAATATATTTGTATCATTAATTTTAATATATTATAACTAAATTAAGATTAAAACATTAGATTTTCTAGTAAAATATTGTATAAGACTATAATAGATATGTGACATGTTACCTAAAATTAGCTAATATCTGTATGAGATCGAATAATGAGACTGCTAGTATGTATAATCGTTAATATATTTAAAACAGTTCTAGTCGCGAAACGGTACGTATAAAGTCGTTTGGTCACTGTTTATAATGAATCGTTTGCGATCGCGTTCGTTTTTTTATAATAGTCAGGGGAAAGTCAAAAGATTCAAATTTGTCTTGTTTTACGGTTACATGTAGCGGCGGCATTGTTTTGCTCGGAGGTCATTAGTTCTTACAATACCTGTGACCTAACGGTCTTGATACTCCGAAGCAAAACAACAACATGATTTGAATCGAATTCTAACTCTTGTGCCGCTACATATCTTTTATAAAATATAACTTTTGATACATTGGTGCTTTTTTTTATTTTTCCAGATCTAGCGATCTTTAAATATATCCGTTCACGTTATGATATATCACGTTATGATATATGCCATTAACTGGTAGTTATTAGTTTAGGATTATAGTTTACGCAGACTGTTACTAACCTTAACAGATAAAAATATTTGATCTCAGCTATTAAATCTGATGAATTTAATTAAAATGTACGTGTCCAATCCAGCTCAGATAAATCTTCGAATAGCAGGTTTTTATTTCATAATTTATCAGAATTATGAATATGAAATATGAATTAATTCCTCTAGATTTTGATCATATTAGGAATATATGGACCGATGTGGTATGTGAAACCATTTCCGGGGAGCGGGAAATACGCTCACATGGTGCTTGAAATCGTATTCATCATTGATCACTGACTCAATGATGTATGTCAGAAAGAGAAGATATACTAGTTACACTGATTCACTTTTATCCGATGAAAATAAAATTGCGCTTGCGTGAACACAACCAATCACTAATGCGATTCTAAGTATCACGTTCCCCACTAGCTGGTAACTGCACCATCTCCCGTTGCTGAGTTATTGCTCGGCTTCTATATTCCTATGCCCATAGATTACATAGTATTGTTTACTTTTGACGACAGTGTAATCTGATCTATCTGATTTTTTGACTCGATTCAGTAGGTAGGATACAAATTAATAATATAAACTGAATAGCTCTTATAACTTAGCAGGATTGTCTATTGATATAAATTTTAAGTAAAATAAATAGTATTTGTATACTTATGTTAGTAAATGCATAAAAGTTATGTACTATCTAAATCCGCTAACTCATGTTAGTTCAATTGGACAAACAGCATCGTACATTTGGGAATCAATTGAAGCAGTAAGTTATAAACTCTTATAAAAAAAGATTAACAATAATAAGAATAGAGAATAATGATAATAAGTATTTATAGTGCTTTACTACAATTAAAATGTTTGAACACTATTAAATTAATGACAGAACTAAAACATTAAGTTATAAATATTTACAATACAATGTAAAAGTACTAAAACATTTATTTTATCTATTGTAAATTATAATAGATTAAATTTTTAACCTATTGAATGCCTATTTTATATTGATATAATAATTGGTAGTTGTCAAAATTGGAACTTCATAATTGAGAGCAATAAATTATCGAAATGAAAAAGAAGTTAATAGTTATCTAACATTTCTAACATTTTCTTGTTATAAAAATTTTTCAGATAATATTACATATTATCATGTAATATTATTATTGTAATGCATTATCATTTTTAGGATATTTTTGTTAAATAAAGTACAGTAGATCTTTAATTTTGTATAATTACAGGTTACATTAAACATTGTTATTCTTTGCTCTAATAATATATAAATCTTTGTGTATAAACTTAGCTTTATAATGTGTTGATTTCTGCCAACACAAATTTTTAAATTTATGTAAGATATAAATCTTTTATCAAAGAGAAATTGTTTTCAGGTACCAAAGCAATTAGGTTTAAAACCAAGAACAGAAGTAAAAATGCCACCACCAGTGCCCTTATGGAAGTTGGCTGCAGCTACAGGACCATTTGTTAAACTTGCTGCATTTAGTGGTGCTGCAGCCACAATTCTTGGTGCTTATGGTTCTCATAGTAAGATTCAAAAAATTGTTGCAGCTTTTTAATTTAATACAAGTGCAATATTCTGCATGTATTAAAGAAAATTTATATTTTAATTAACTCTATGAAGAATATTTTATTAACAAGCTTTTTAAGCATGTTAGAGAATAAATTTTATATTTTTTAGTATGGTTTTTATAAACAAAATAATTTTGTATGATTCATCACGATTTCAGAGGAATATCCAGAGCATGAGAAAGTAGATCGAAAGCAAGTATTTGAAACTGCAAGTCGTTATCATTTTATTCATACATTAGCAATGTTAGGATTACCTCTTTGCAGATCACCTTATGTGGTATGTTCAATTTTTTTGAAATATTAATATCAATTATTTGTATTATTATATTTATTATTATATTATTTAGACTGCAACGTTCCTATTGCTTGGAATAGCACTGTTCTGTGGGACTTGCTATTATTCTGCATTTACTGGTGACAAACAATACAATAGATTAACACCAGTAGGTGGTATATGTTTCATACTAGGATGGTTAAGCATGTGTATTTAAAATATTAAAAAACATAGGAATGTAATAATATATGTGAAGAAGAGAAGGAAGCTAACACGCATAAAAGAAGTTTCTAATTACTGTATATAAAAATAATTACTAATAATTGGATTTACTTTGAAATAAACTACTTTTTCATAAGATGAAACCATTTTTTATATTATGCATGTTACTTACGAAATATTGTTAATTAGAAGAAATATTTCGTCGGCAAGCAACATTTGTATTTTCATTTATTGAAAATTGCTAAAGAAATATAATATGATCTAAATAAAATTAAAATGTGTTTATGCTAATGAATTGATATAAATGTACTTTTCATTTATAATATTACTGATGTAGGTTTAGATAATACCCTAAACTATTATACATTATAATTGTATTCCTAACTTGTATCCTGCATACTTTATGAACGATTTTTGTTTTATATTATGTATACATTACCAGTTATAATCCATCGTTATTTGTATTAGAAATGTAATGCAAAAATATAACGTTTTACGTTTTATCATAAAATACATAAAAATTATAAAGTATAAATATCAGGTTGTAAATAATTTTTATAATATAACGTTAAAAAAATATTGTAAAACTGAAATGGAACTTTAAAGCAATCCTGCTACTTTTAACACTTAGCCAACCGAATAGGGAGATCTCTCCTCTGTGAAGTACATCGCTACGCGACCGAACGGGGAGATCTCCCTTTTTGACTTGTGCAACGTTTTCTTTCTTTTTTTGCTATTATCAGTTATTGTTTACCTAGATTTGTTCCTAATTAATTGCGCCATTTTTTCTGTTTTTATACAGTACAATATATAATAAAATACATCAATTTAGTGGTGTTAAAATTAATTAAAAAGTTACACTATCAGTTATGACTAAATAAAGTTATAATCGAACGATATTACATTGTAAAAAAATATTAAAATGCATTATGAATTTTTAATTTCACGTTCAAGGCGTCTTATTTATCTTTAGTCATCTTTAACCGTTTGAGTCGAAACGTTTGATTTTGTGTCGAAAAGTTCCAGTACATTTGAACGCTACGAATGACTGATGGTATTTTGTATTTCATTGTTATCTTCTCAATAATTTTTATTGGACAAAACTTGAAATATTTATAAACTAATAGTACACATATATAATAATATAGACGTATTTCATAAAAATAACAAATACGACGAACGCATTGCGCCGCTTATTTCTCTTCGCAATCGATTAAAACAAGCATTATCGCGCTGTTCGGGATTATTCGACCCTGTTTTTTCAAAGACCCCTGGGACTCAAACGCTTAATGTTTTTAATTTTACCTATATTTCTTTATACTTTTAATATATACTTTTAATTTGATGTTTTGTATAAACAAAATATGAGATCGTTAAACAAAATCATTATCGCAAAATATAATTGACCACTTAAATAATTTTTTTAGATTTCTTTGCTTTTTAAATAATGAATATTAATCTTCGCCTCGATACTTAAAAAAATGCGCGGCGAACAGCGTATAGGTTGGCTTGTCCATTGCGGTGCGAAACGTATAGTTCGCTGTGGCGCGCGCGGTTGGCTAAGTGTTCAAAATCAAAACGATAGTTATATATAATATCAATTAATGTAATCGCTAATTCACCGATTAAGTTCCATGTATATAAAAATAAAAATCAAAAAGTGATGTATGTATATATTGATCATCTCAAACAATGGTACAAAATATAAATGTAAAACAAATAATTGCGTCTTATTCCTTTTCTACTTTTGATCAATTCATATTTTTATCATTTTTGTATAGAATCACATTTCTACAGAGACATAAGAAAGTAATGTACCTTGTATAATCCATTTGATACACCAGCTTCGCTGATTTTTATATCCATTCTATTTCGTATTATACAGTTGTCGTACATGTTTCATAAATAGATACTTCGCCTGTAAATAAGTGGATATAAGAATTTTCTTCGATTCATATATCATTATGATGACTTGATCTGACGATGTTGGCTGCATTCTTACACAGCTAAGTAAAGTATTAATTGGACTATCTTACCTAGAATAAAAATATCAAATAAGTTTAATTAGTGATACATCGAATAAACTTAAATATAGGAGTGTTGCACGTCAATTCGCGCAGTGCTCGCATACTGAAAACTAAGCAGCGAACACAAAGAGATCGATTACGAAATTAAAACGATAATCGTAAACACGCAATTATATTCGGAGTTATTATATTTCTATGATGATGAAACATGAGTTACATCATTAGCGCAGTTTTATTCTTTCATTGATCTTGATTTGTGATTTCATTGCAAATTGCAATGAGGCATGAAATTGGCGATTTATGGCGATGCT